CCGTACGAGACTGTTGCGGACTAGGCAGGTGAGCGCCGCTCGGCGGCAACGAAACGCAACCGAGCCCCTCTTTTCCTCTTTTAACTCGACTACGGAACCCGTCGACACGAGGAGGCCCGGTCGTCGGATCCTCTCTGCTCTCGCGCCGCGCTGCCTAGGATCCCACGGAGGGAGGCGCGACCACGTCTCGGACTCGAACGCGCGATGTCAAGGTGATAGACGCGATGCTGCGCGATGAATAATAGCGGTCAGAAATCATTAACAGGTCGCAATGAGATAGCATGGCCTTTAGGACTTTAAAAAATGATCCAGCGTATGCTGCGCGTATAACAAATTTTTATAGCATGATAAAATATATATTAAATCTAAAGATTAAAACTTCTAGAAAAAGCGCTTTATATTATGAATTTTGGTGAAGTGAAATATGATTGGAATTATTGGAATTACAATTTTAAAATTGTATTGAAATGTACTAAAACACCTCGATCTGACGACTCGACAATGAGCTGAAACATGTAATGTAATTTTTTCATACATTATTTTTGTATCTTTAATATATTAATCTAAGGCCCATTCTACGTAATTACGAAAGCACAGTTATAAAAATTGACCAATCACGGTCGAATTTGGGAAGAATATTCGGTCACTGTGATTGATCAATTTTTACTGCAACCATATACAACTATGCTTATGCACTTGTAAAATAGGTATTACATACCATTTTCCATGCTCGACTCTTTTTGTCTTCCTCTATTAGCTATTTTAATTGTTGAGAGTCCTTATTACTTCTTCTATTAAAATATCTCAGCTTGATATAGTATAAATATTGGCGATTACATTTTTAGAAATGTCTATAGTAACCTACAGGCTTCATCCAAGGGACGTCCTGGGAACATCCTTGGAACGTAGAATGTCCTTTGGATGTCTATAGAGTATCCTTTAGAAATGTGTGTTGTATAGGAATATTTTGCACAAAAAAACTTTATTTTATAATAAAATTGCACTAATAAACTAAAAAATATGGAATTTTATCATTCCTAGACTAATCGTTTTATAGCGTAACAAAATTCAAGCGAGAAATTGCTACATACTATGATTTTACTGTCTCAAAAATAAAAGATTTCATTGAAAGATTATCCGGAGATCGATTTAAAATGCTCAAATATATCTCTTATCCCTCCACTACCCAATCCTCTCATTTCCGTAATAAGAAGTTTGTTGCGCTCTGTCAAGTGAATTTCACCCGACATGTCGCTATCCCATCTCCTTCTCATCGCTCTTCGCCAATAATAGCGCGACAAAGAAAACTCTTTTACCGGATGATGAATTTTCAGGTTGAGAAGCGCCACAAGAAAAGCAGGTATCAGTGATGATCCTGACATTTTCCGTGTCGCCGTTCACCTTCACGAGATACACGGGAGCGGCTCGTGTATGCGACTCGACGCGAGAGATCCGATCTCCCCTCGTGGCCCTACCAATACGAATACGAAGCAAGTAAGGACTAATAACGGGGCCCCAGTAAGTCCCATTCTGATGCTTTGTGAAGGCGAGCTCTCCGCTCGGTAGCCGTCTCATGCCTCGTCTCCCTTCGTCCCGCCACCTCGTCACGACTGGTCCTTTCGCGTCTCTCCCTCGCTTCTTCCTCCTTTCGACCAGCGACCTGCTCCTACCTGGCCTCCTCCCACCATATCATGGCTTCGGTACACGCTGTGGGCACCATCGTAGAGGGCTATTGAGGGCTTAAGCTGTCGGCGTGTGGCTCGCTACATCCTTTTCATCTCCGCCGCCACGACAAAGCCGCGAGCGCTCGCGGCCGCAGCCTTTACCGGTTCCCGAGCACTTCGTCGTTTCAGAGAGTGTGTATCGGAGTGCTCCGAATTCTATTACATCAGACTACGGCCTAGTAATAGATGCAGCTTCTGCTGCTAACAGCGTTCTATTTCGGTAGCAGCGTTCAGCCTTTTAACAGTCGTCATTACGCGGAACGTACAGTAATTATAGCCTTCAGGAATATGTTTACAATCGCGCTATACATGACGATATTTTATAATCTATGCAGCTAATCTCGCATCCGCGCAATAATAGTCACATCTAGCTAATAGGTAAGTCGAATTGGAGAATTCGCTGATTTGAACCTAGCAGATCATCATTTATATAATCAAAATATATGATCCTTAAAAATAAATAATAATCGACCTTGAGAAACTTGTCTAATGAAATTAAGAAAAGCTTAATTATGATTAAGAGTCCTTAATTAATCGTTTCCGTACCATCGACCATACAGGTTATAGCATTGATCGAAACGATTGGCCTAATTGTTGGATCGGCCGCTCAATAAAGTGTGTCCATGAAGTCGTGGGTCAATTACTTCGTTGACCGAATAGTTTTACGAGCAACAGTTCTCGATGTCACGACCATTTCCTGTTATTTCTCAGAATAATAGTTCGAATAACAAACTGTAAATTAGTTCGTTCACAAACAGACAATAATAGTGTCTTCGTAGAAGAAAATTATATTGAAATCGCTAATAATGAGAATTAAAATAAATTCTACTGTATCAAAAATACAACTGTATTATTAATATAACAATATAGAATTTGTATTTTAATTGTAATATTAGTATATATATGTATATATATAGGAACAGCGAATATTACTCACAATCAAATAAATCACAAAACAACTTTGCATATAATAAATTATTTTTCTAGCCTTTATAAATATCATTAATGTCGATGAATAATTATCTATCAGAAAAATCTTTATTCAGCAAATAAATATCTTGAAGAAAATTAATGCTATTATATCGCCGTAATTCTTTTCTTTGTCTATTATCTCTGTAAGGATTTCTTTTTCTGAGCGCACAATCTCCAGGAATGAGGCAGTCATTGATGGGATCTCAGTGATAGAGACGAAGGCGATAATAGCGGCGATGAAAGAGGGGAAAAAATAAAGGACGGCCAAGAAGCAAAAATATTGCAGGAAGAGTCGACAGCAGAAGAAGTCGTCTCGTGTGGTCATATCATAACCTGCGGGCCAAGCAGTGTGAGTGGTTTTAAGCAGCGATGAAAGAGAGGGGGAATATCTCGGAGTATGGTTCAAGAAGGGCAAGACGGGGAGAGGAGAAGTTCAGCGGGGGTCCGTATTACAGCTCATTTAGCAGCGGGGTCCTGTGCCCCTTTCTTCGGCGCCCTGAGAGATCCACTCGGTCCAGAACAGGTCCATGGACCTACGGCAAAGATGAGCCCGTTTCGTTCCCATAGAATCGGACCTCCTGGCACTTATAACCTTCTACCGCTAAGTAGCACATCTCTTCACATTTAGATACTTCACTCGGACGCGATATCATACAAAGGATACAATATCTAACTCATCAAGATACAGGTAATTCCGCATAATTCTACATTGTGTAAATTCGTTTCCCGAAAAACCACTCATATTTAGCCAATTGTAAGATATGCCAAAAAAAAGATTCAATATAAAAAATAAATAACAAAAAGTATACGCATATAAATATTAACGGAACATATATAACAATCAGTCTCTTATTCGCGGATCCAAAGGTCTCGCGTTTTCACACCTCACATCTGTCATTTACACGAAGAAGAAATTTTGAGTGACCAACCGCTATACGAAGAAGCGTAGGAAGAGAAGAAAGGGAAGTTGGAACGTATACCGGGGCGGGAGGGTGAAACGAGTGTTACCGACTCGTGACCAACACAGACGCGAAATAGCCAGTAATTTATGGGTGAGACTAATTACCGGGGAATGCAGCTCCTTCGACTCTCCTCTGTTCCTAAGACCGCAACTGCACCAGACCAGTTTTCAGAGACGAGGAGAGCCACCTCTCTTATCCCGCCACCTTTTTCATCCTCTTTCTCTATCATCCAAATTCGTTCCCCTTGCCCGTCGGACCTCTTGTACTCCCTCTGCGAGCGTTTATGCGCTTGAACTTGCATATTAATTCCGCGGTTTCCGATTAGTCCATGCGTGCTAATTATATCCATCGATTCTCTGCGAAATAATCTATCTGATGTTTCCACATATTTCTATACGTACCAAAAAAATATTATGTATACAATATGTTTTTTTTAAATATGCGTGTGCGTGCATGCGTGTGTGTGTGTGTGTGTGTGTGTGTGTGTGTGTGTGTGTGTGTGTGTGTGTGTTATACTCATGAATTTGTAATGTTTTTTAATTATTATAATTAAACTAATATATATATATATAAAAATATCAATTTTGGAGGGGAATTTCAATGTACTATAATATTCTACTTTAATGATTATAATAATATTAGGTTAAAATTAATTTGAGAGTTTCATAATTTTAATCACTGACACGAGCATAATTCCATTTATCGAAAGATTGAAGCGATAAAAGTAGAAACGGTCCAGGAAATTAGGAACCCAAATCTAACTAGAATAATGGAAGAAGGACGATCACGTTCTCATGGGAATTACGCGCAGAGAAAAGTGTTAGAACAATACCCACTATCGTCATCGGGCATCATTTGTACATTAGCCTGATCCGACAATTTGAGCCGCACTCGGTGCACCCGGTGCAACGATTCCTTCTCGTTAAATGCCATTATCCGTTTCACCCGGACACCCGGTCGCCGCATGAGTCGTGAATTCCTAAGAACCTGCTCGAACATGCTGCCGTTGCTTGTCGAAACGGTAGAGGCGGAGCAGCGTTATAGAGGGAGGAACAGATTCTTTTATTATGACGAGAGTATAGAGGAAAGAAGAGAGAAAGGGAGAAAGAGACACGGAAAAAAGGATGAGACACACTAATGTACACGCGCGATGAGCGTGCCTCGACAAAGCTGCAGAATGTTCCACGGCATGATTTTTTTCAGCCCTGGCTCTCGGTATCCTCGCTGTTCTGCATGCCATTCGACCGATGGCACTCCTGGCATT